ACAGTGCCAGGAAAACATACTGCTTTCCTGGCACTATAGTGCCCTGAGGGTGCCCCCACCCTCAGGTCCCCCTCCTGCCCTGGCTCTGGAAGGGGAAAGGGGTAATAACTTACCTTTTTCCAGCGCTGGCGGAGAGCTCCTCCTCTCTCCTCTACCCGGGCTGAATGCGCACGCGCAAGAGCTGGCGCGCATTCAGCCGTTCATGGAAAGCATTCATGTCGCCCTAGTGGATCGCTGTGCTCTCACTGTGATTTTCACAGTGAGAAGCATCAAGCGCTTCAGTGGCTGTCAATGAGACAGCCACTAGAGGATTAGGGGGAAGGCTTAACCCATTCATAATTATAGCAGTTTCTCTGAAACTGCTATAATTATGAAAAAATGGGTTAACCCTAGAAGGACCTGGCACCCAGACCACTTCATTAAACTGAAGTGGTCTGGGTGCCTAGAGTGGTCCTTTAAAGCGGCAGTCATGCCGAACTTACCTTTCTTTAATCAATTACTCATCTCTCCCTCTGTCAGGATCTGTTCTTAATTTCTTCCTGTTTGCTCTAGTTTTCTTTAAAACATAAGACGAGGTAGGGACTACTTTGTCTTATGGAGGTTTCCTACGCCTGACCAGCTATGAAGAAGCAAAATGTGCTTAGTTTCTGGCGGTCATAGAAATTTTCCCACAATTCTCACCTTTGATCCGTGATCTTGCGATGCTTCCTGTCAGTATTCCTGAACGTCCTGTCACTTAGACAGAACTCTGGCGAAACTACCGAATTTCGTCCTAACAAAATGAGAACAGTTTCTCTATTCGTGTTAGGATGCAATTCGGGACTTTGTTCGGATCGGAATTTCATTTGAGTGAATGATTCTATTCATGCCGCAGCTGCACCCATGAGCGGCGGATGGGGGCCCTAAAGGAAAATGCAGGGGGGGACACCTATTGTCCACCCCCCCGGCCCCCACCCATTAGTGGCGGCCCTAAATAACAATAAAGGGGGGGGAGAGACCTATTGTCCTTCCCCCAGTCCCACCCCTGAGCGACGGGTGGGGGACTTATTGTCCTCCCCCCTGGCTCCCACCCATGACAGTAGGTGGGGGCCCTAAATAAAAATGTTAACCCCCAGGTGACTAGAGGTCCCCAAGCCCCTAGTCACCCCCCCACCGAAAAAAAATTAATAAACCCCTACATATAAAACTGAGCGGCAGGTGGGGGCCCTAAATAAAAATGGGGGGGTCCTACTGTCCTACCCCCGGCTCCCACCCATGAGCGGCAGGTGTGGGCCCTAAATAAAAATGGGGGGGTCCTACTGTCCTCCTCCTGGCTCCCACCCATGAGCGGCTGGTGGGTCCTCTAAATAAAAATGTTAACCCCCCAGGTGAAAAAAATGAATAAACCCCTACCTACGCTCCTCAACCTAAAAATAGTGAGGGGGTAAACAATAAAACTAAATCCCTGTAAATAAAAAATAACTTACCGTTTGAGGTCTTATTTCTAAAATCTTATTTTTTCAGCCCCAAAAAAGGCCAAATAAATGTCCATAATACACGTCAGACTTTGAAAATAAAATAAAACCCTGAGCACAAAAAAAAAAAGAGGAAAAAAAACCCCAAAAAACAGACGCTAAAAAAATAATCCATCTTCACCCATGGAGGGCACCACGCAGACTGAGCTCCGCAGGGCAGGGAAAGGCTTATAAAGCATTCGCACGTCCTGCAATTATGCTCAAGCACTCTGATTGGTTGGTTTAAGCCAACCAATCAGAATGCTCTAACACGAAAATGAAGAGACTGACAGGTAAGTCTCTACATTTACCTGTCACAGCACTCTGATTGGTTGGCTTGAAATCCAACCAATCAGAGTGCTCTGTGTCATTTTACACAGCGTGGGAAAGTTCTTTGGAATTTTCCCATGCTGTGTAATTTATCTCATAACGCTCTGATTGGTTGTTTGATAGCAACCAAAGTGTTGTTATGAGTCTTTTGTTTTAAAGAAAACTAGAGCAGACAGGAAGAAATGAACAGATCCTGACAGAGGGAGAGAAGTGGAATTGATTAAAGAAAGGTAAGTTCGGCATGACAGTGCTGCTTTAAGGATACTTACCGTGACACACATATAGACACACACTGACACACACAGTGGCAAACAGTTACATAAACTGACACACATAAGGATACTTACCCTAACACACATACAGACACATAGATACATATCTTGATACACATGCAGAAACACATACACTGACTCACAGACATACATATACATACACACAAACACTACACACACATACAGATACACAAAAGCACACACATTATCCTTTTGGGTGGTCGGGTCTGGTGGGAGTTAGGGGCATGCTGCTCTCCTGGTCCACCACGCCCACTGCCTCTCCCTCTCTCCTGCGCGGCTTGCTCAGTGTGTGAGCTGGGAGGAAGTAGTTAGAAGCTGTTACTTCCTCCCAGCTCTGGCTGCACTAACGCAGGTGTCTGGTCGCGCTATTAATGCACCACAGCGCGCGGCCGGACCCCTGAGGGCATATGAGTATCGGGTGGCCCTAAGTGCATGGGCCGCCCGATAGACTCAGTCTGTGGTTCCCAAGCCATGCGCATTGCCGCCATTACCGAAATTGTTTTGCGTACCCCCGGGCACTGAAATGTACCACTGGAGGTACACATACCACAGGTTAGGAACCTGAGGGCATATGAGTATCGGGTGGCCCTAAGTGCATGGGCCGCCCGATAGACTCAGTCTGTGGTTCCCAAGCCATGCGCATCGCCGCCATTACCGAAATTGTTTTGCGTACCCCCGGGCACTGAAATGTACCACTGGAGGTACACATACCACAGGTTAGGAACCCATGGTGTCATGTATCAGATGGTACTAATGTATTGTTTTATTTTCAATATGCCAGCAATTGTGAAGTGACAGACTGTATGCGGGCTTCTTCTTTTATTCAAGTTTAGCCCCTTAAAGGGACGCTAAAGGCACCCAGACCATTTAATCTCAATGAAACAATCTGGATACAGTGCCCCTTCCGGTTATAGTCCTGCAATCTAAAATATCACTGTTTAGTAGATATGGCAATATTTTAATTTAAAGGATAAACACACCTCTAGTGACTGTCTAAATTAAAGGCACCAGGTTGTGCTTCTTCGGCAACTACCATGATGGACTCAGTTATGTGACGTTCAACGTAAAAAGTCATCATATGCTGATCATAGGCAAGGTTTGATTCACCATGCATGCGCTTCTCATCCCTAACCTTCTCTAGGAGAAGCATAGAATTGGACAAATAGCCAGAGAATTAAGATGTGAAGGATGACCTCACAAAAGGCAGAGCAGAGCTGGATAAAAGGTAAGTAAAACCCTTTTTTAGCATTAGGAATACAATCTAATTCGGAACCAAAACCAAACCTAGAATTTGTGCTATGTGTCTTACATTGTAATTTCTATTTAAGTGCACTCATACAATATATTGTTTTTGAAAGGACCGGAATGTTTATATATATATATATATATATATATATATATATATATATATATATATATATGTATGTATGTATATACCGGTGTGTGTGTGTGTATATATATATATATATATATATATACACACACACACACACACACACACACACACACACACACACAATATGTATACAAGCGTGCACGCATTAATAAATCAATTTGGAAGTAGTAGATAGACAAATAATCAAAGTTTTCTTTGATCTAAAACAATAGCACAACATTAAGTATGAATAAAAGGAATGGCACAATTTTGCTTATAATAATCTTTATATAAAAAATGCAACTAAAGAAAACTCAAAACACTTTCACATATCAATCCTGATAAACACCGAATATGTCTCAGATCTAATTTAATTTTAGATGCCTCATGTCTGACTCTAGGATAAATTAATGCTGTAGCTCCTGCATGCTGTCCCTGCCGATGACATAGTGATTGATGCTGGGCAGTAGGCACAGCACAGCACAGATCACTGTTGGCAGGGGGCATGCAAGAGACCCTATCAAGGTCTTCTCGGATCCTTAGAGTCTCCCTCTGTCTGCGGTATTACAGTGGCTGAACACAATTGTTCAGCTGCAGTTATTTACATGGATTTAAGAGTGCCACATATCGCTCATATGTCAGGATAGGGCCAAGTATGGCCCCAGCTGACAGAGGGGAGTCCTTTGTATCGATTGGTACCTGGCTCTCCCCAGTGCAAGTCGCCATTTAACACTGCTTGTACCAAGAGCACAGGACGTTCGTTCCATACCATCCTAACAACGTTAAAGCCCACTCTTTTTAGAACAGCATGGAATGTCCCAATATTCTTTAAGGGGTTAAAGCTTTTTATTGCACATTATTTCAATTACATCATAATTTTGAGTATTTTGCTGCTCAAAAAGATCTACCAATTTCTGTGTTTTACATATTTTCTTGCAGGATTTTTACTTAAACAGTATTGATTGTTCCTTATTGACCTTTTTTATATTTTATTCTGTGTGATTGAAGTCCGTGTGTGAGCTATACTAAACTACGAAAAAAGACAGCCAGTTTAAAAAGCTTTATCCAACTACTGAAACAAAGGTTGTTGTTTTATCATGTATATGTAAAACATAAAAAACTACTTGCCTACCTCAGCCTCTTCTATTTTATTGTTGCCATGTAGGACCTCCGGAGGTCAGTCCTGTGCATGACAGCTGTGTCTCTATGGTACTTTTTTGACTGGTGTGAAAATTGTGGTCATTCAGGGATGAACATGAAGCTTAACATAGATACAGTGTGCATGGACTTGATGCCAATTGATATTATTAAGCCCAACATTAACCAACAAAAACATGTTAACCACAAATATGTAACACTGACACAAGGCAGGATTACTCTCACCAGTAAAAGGAACACTCCAAGCACCATAACTACTCCGCTTGTTGTGCCATGAATGCCTCGGTGCCCTCCAAAAGAAATGCGTTAAACTGTTTTAATCAGTTTGACACCTTTCCTTGGGTTTGCACCGAATGTCCACAGCCGCACAGCCTGCTTCCAGACTTTCTTTTCAAGAAAAAAATTAAATCAGTCTACTTAGCTCAGCATGGTCACTACTGTATTGGACCTGCTTAGCTCAGTGAAGACATTAAGCTTCTGCTGCATGAGAAAGCTTGAGGTAGAGTTGGTACCTGAGGGACCCAAGTACGTTTACAAAACATTCTAAATGGGTTTGACACATTAATCCGGCAGGTTGCAGTGCATATGGTGCCTGGATTGTTCCTTTAAGCAGTTTATCCCAAAGTGTGTCCCTACAATTTGCAAACTGGAGCAGAAATGTTCCTTACATACAAACACACACAAGGGCACTGCCTTCAAGAAGTTACAAAATAGGATTTTAGAAAGTCCTGTGTCTGTCACTTATTTCAACCACTGCAATCTCACACTATATAAGGTATACTCCAAAATACAGTCAACTAAAAGTACAGGTTTTCAGTATCTACTTAAAAAAAGCATTCCAAGCACCATTGGATACGCTTATGTCACATACCATACTGAAAAAAAAGGCACTAACAAGACAGTACAATTAATTCAGTCTCATCTTTAATACTCAACAGAAATGTAAACAGGTTGCATTACCCAAACAGAAGCTCAGATTAACGGAAACCAATCCTTTCACGAGGAAAATGATTCAACTAAATATTGTGACCAAAGGAATAAGAACCTATTAAAATGATTTAAATTAATAGAAGAAAAGACAAATGTAAATCTATACCTATACAGTGATACAATGGTAATATACACATATTCAAATTTAATAAAGAAATAGAATATATATACCAGCAGTGGGTATATCCTTTAAGTTACGGCATTTCCCCAAGAGTAACGTGCACATAGGTGATCAGAAAAAATTGGAATTTTGGTGAAATTAAAATTGCACTTGGTTAAATGATGGTAATGTTTCCCATTTTTGACCTTAGACAAAATATTTTCAATTGCTAAGTAATTAAATCCACTTGCTATGATCAGTAAAAAAAAAAAAACCTTAAAAAGAAAATGAAAAAAAAAAAAAGAATGTGTTTTTATTAAAGTTTTAAAATAAAAGGTTATATGTATTTAGCCTCTACGGATTTGTGTGTAATGCATACATACAAGTAAATACCTGGCTTACCCTTGGTCCATGTGTGTAACCATCTGTAAGTCCTTGATTGTCAATAGCACAGTTTATGTAACCAAAGACCATGTGCAATGTAAAGCTTAAGAGTGTAGTTGGTTGGTTTATTTTTGCAAGACCTGAAGCTTATGGATGACATCAGGATTTGTTGAAAAAGCATATTTGCTGTTGCTTATCAGTATGATTCTTGTTGCATTAAATGGTATTTCTGACCAAAGACAATGGGAGTCCCAAACAACAAGGTAAAGCCAGGAGTGAACTCAAAAGGTATTTACTTATTTTTATGCTTTACAGAACTATATATAGAGGATATATGAAATTGATTATTTTAAACAACACAATATAAAGGCAGTTTTCTTATAGGCCAAAGTAGCACAATCCATATTGTAGATTTTGTTTCCATGTACAGTTGTTTAAGACTGACTTTTGCAAATGGACTGCTTCATTTTTAAACAAATGGCCTTACAGCAAGTTTAATTACATTAAACATAGAAACATAGAAACATAGACACAATTGTAGACACAATATCTGCTGATAAACTTTATTTCTCATGAAAACCAATTCTTATGTGTGTGTATATTATAGATACACACACACACCAACACAAAACCAGTTGGAGCCTGCAACCGTATCCAAAAATACTCACAGAGACCTTTTCATATTTGAAATCATTGGGAATAAACAGAAGCATTGTTGACCATTTGTGGCTGTTTTCTAAAAGCACAATATGATGACGGAGTTTTGAAGATAATGGTGATCTATGCTTACATCCCATCTAAACAGTATTAAGGTTTCCTTTCACATAATAGGGAACAATATTTATTACTGTAAGTGAGTGTATGTCATACACACACACACACAGTCCAAATGAAGTGTGTTTAAATGGAAATGTATTGGTTGCAGTATGTTTGCACAATGCAATGATATTTTTTTCATGAAAATAAAAGCCTAATAATTATATTTTAAGACTCAAGAGTGCTCTTTATTTCTAAATCATATTGACAGGCTGGAATGGAGTATCATATAGACAAAGATGCAGTAGGGGACCTTTTAGTGCCAGACCTTAAAAAATATAATAAAGAAACATAGATAAACAAAGAGAGAAAAAAATCTGGATCTTTAGAGCGAGCATCTCAAACACTGTCCCCCACAATGCAATTTCTAAAATACCAAACTAAATTATTTAATGATTCAAAGATGTATTAGCATACCTTGAAATGGCACAACATACTGTAATTTGCATTTATGTTATAGTTGACATTTGGTGACAATAATTTAATGGGTTTCTCAATAGCTATAGAGGATGTGTGCCTACATTGAGGTAGTTCGCAACAGAAAATTTAAAGGTGCCAGCTTTTCTGATCCATGCTAACACGGACTAATTGATAATCTGTGTTACACACATGGATAAATTAATAAATTAAAGATTGTGGCTTCAGATAAATCTAGGTATATTCCTAGGCCCTGCATTCCACTTTTCATTAAAACAAAATACAAGATAGTGGATGGTACAGATCTACTCTAAAACAATGTGAAGGAAGCAAAAAGTGTTTTAACATGTACATATATCAGCTATACAAATATTGGCAAAATGTGTTGGTCACCTTATTCTTTAGTTTTGCTGCCTCAATTAAGTGCTATATTATATTGATGTCTATGGATTTTGCAACGTTTCGTCCAGACATGAAAAAAAATACCATAATTCTTTCTTATATAAAAAGTAGCTTTTTAAAAGACACAAGAAAATATTAAAATTGAAAAGTGAACAAATAATAATTCACTAAGTGTTAAATACAACACAGAGGCTGGTTTCAACCCCCCCCCCAAAAAAAATATAGAGTAATACTGTGTAATCAAGGCAAAGTAATAAGATTAGAAGTCGTGTTTCACCCTTTTCCTCTTGAAAGCAAAGTTTGTTGATACGGTTAATTGCAAATAAACTAACATGTAAAAGTAAAAACCCATTTATAACGAGCTGCTTGCTCCTTAAATCATTCAGCACTAAAAAAAGCTACAGTCTTCCCCCAGTGTTGAAGTGGCTGATTGATGCAGTTTTTACATATCTTAGTGAGATACAGACGAGTTCAATGATGGTTAGTCTTTGGTATCTCAGCTGTAGTGGGCTGTGTTAAAGGATTCTCCGCCAGCAAAGAGTACCCACCATGAGCCTACAGACTGTACAAGATTAAATGCAACTGACTTAATAAATAGCAAATGTTCTCTCTGAATACTTTTAATATAGCAGCCGTGTTACATAACTATAGTAAAACAATTTGTTGATTGTTTATAGTAGAGCAGATAAGATAGCCAGGGACTTGCACTCAAGGTTTTAAGTAGGGCAAAGACAGGTCTGTCTGTGGAAGCTAGAGTTAAATCAACATTATCCGATGTTGGAAAGAAAAAAAGTTTTGCTTCACACCACAAGGAACCGTCTAATTTCTCTCTATCAGCATCATATTTTCACCTGCTTGTTTATGTATGTGTCAGACACTCTCAACTGGTCCAATAATTGTAAAGTTGGTTGCTTGATCACTTTAAGTGATTACCTCTATGTATTAGAAAACCACCAGTTGTTTCTTTTATTACACTTGATTTAACTATGACAGCCATCTTTGAGCCATTGCACACAACAAATTTGGTTATACAGATGTTTATGGAAACCTCAATAACTCAGCTCAGGATAGTCCTAACTCCTTGGACTAAAACTATTCTCTAGAGCACATCCGCCTACAATATCATCTAATGATTACACTGCAAAGCCCAACTAAAATGTGGGTGTTAAAGATTTAATGTGATCATTGATGCTAAACAATCTGAAAATATAAATGAAAAAAAATATAAATAAATATCTGTTAATCTTACTCATTTGCTCCTTTGTTTTTTTTATAAATTAAGGCATAAAGACTGGAACACGTTCTGCCTAAATCTGTATGCATAATACCGTTATTTTTTGCACATCATTTAAATGAACATTTTACTCATACTGAGAGTTCAAATTTTTTTTTTCTCGTTTTAAGAAAAGAAATTAAGAAAAATACTCTGCAGAGACTGGCGCTTTAAGAGAATTATACAACGGCATTACAATCGGTCTTTCCAACAAGTGCCTACAATAGTATTCAAGCTTCATACCAAGATACACAACAGATGTTGTTCAGCCAATGTGGGTACTCCATGCTTCTTAGTACCTGCACCCACAACAAGCACAAACGCATAGCAGAAGTGAGATATGTGGTAACTCAGCTTCTTTATTCTCTATTCCATCTTGGTGATTTTTGTTTGTTTTAAAGGGGGTGAAGGATTAGTTTAGCTGAATATATTCTTCATGAAAGCTGGACGGGAAAATGGCCAACAATATTCATTAGGAACAGGCCCTTTTACATTGCATTCGAAGAACGAGAACATGGGAAACCAAATGCGTGCACGCCGGCTGTGCTGGTAAGCCCGAGTGTTGGCCAGTGTGTGGTAATATAGGAACAGTCTTGTAGTGATGTAAAAGGCAATAAAGACATCGATGGAGTAATGTTCGTGTGCAGCCAGGATGAAAAAAATGCCAAACAAGTTCAGGACCCAGGACAAGGTGTGCAGAAAGTTCCAGCTTCTTGGGGTGTCTAAAATAAATTTAAAAAAAAAAAAAACAGAATATTAAAGCCCGGTCATTTGTTGAATATGATAAAAACCTGTCTACAACAGCTGGGGACCAGCAAAAAATGTCCATACTATACACTAGTATAGAAATACTGCCGCCAGACTTTCCTCTCTAGTCGGTCCTCTCACATCTCACTCCTCTGTCAGGCCTTACATTGGCTTCCTGTATCCTATAAGAGGCAATTCAAAGTGCTAACCCATACCTAAAGA